ACACACACACACACAATGTTTGCAGGAATTCGCGCTTTGTTCTGTTTGATTGCTCTCAAGCTATGGCGGAGACTCGAGTAACGAGGCGGCGGAGTCGTACATATAGTTCACGCAACAGGAGGAAGATGAACTTTCCTCCCCGAACACCGTGACCGCTATGCCGACGAGGTCCAGTCATGGTGCTGAGCTAAGACGCATATGACTTAATGGGCCGAAACATCTTAACTCACCATTTTCATATTCACTTCGCCTCACGCCTTCGCTCCCCATACTCCTAGGACCTACTTGTATGCTACAGTCAGCTTAGGTTTCTTCCCATCCCTCGTAAATTGTCGACAGTTATGTCCCGGTTACCCGGCTCTCGCATTTCCGGAGTAGATTTTCCGGAAATACAGAACGAAGACGCACATACGTTCTAGCGGTGGTGCGTTTATTTGTGCGAATGTGCATAACATATTCGATTTCAGCCGTCCGCGGCCTACCACGCTTATATAGAGCATCCAAAACAAGCAGGGACCATTGAGTTCGATCTGCTTTCGTATCGCTAGTGCCGGAAAAATGCTACCAATTGAGTGATTTTCAAGTGTTTCCACTCTTTACATAGAGCGAAATGCGAGCAGAGATCTTTGCTTTTCGACTTGGCATATGCTGGCGTATTGATGGTAAACACTTGGGCTACTCTCGAATGCCCTGCTTCTTAAAGGGACTGGGTCTCGGCGGAGGGGGCGGGGGGATCGTTTCGATTTTTTATCGGTTTTTGTTCCAATAAATTTCTATCAAGAGTTGTGCCGATATGGCCTTTTTATTCGATTAGCGATTATTACATAATTTAGAGGAAAAAACACAACGAAACGGACGCAGAAGTGATATGAGTGAGTGGAAGAAAGAGAAATGAACAGCTGTAACTGGACATGAGTTATTGACCGGCGCAACTTTTGAGTGACACACAGATTGGAGTGGACGGACATGCGGCGATTCTAAGTGAAGAAACAACAAAAGCATGATATGATTGAGGAGTTGGAAAAATTAGCACACAATTTTCATAGTTTTACAAGTTATCGAGCAAAAGAATTTCTTCATAATGCTTGTGTACGCAGCAGAAATTCGCGGTTACTTTGTGAAAATCATGCATCACAAAGGTATAAGCGGTAATGCGGGAGTGATACAAAAATTACCACGAAGTAAACCGCCTCTGCAGTGAAAAATAATAATTTCGCAAAACGTTTTTCCGATGAGAAAGATGTAAAACAGAATTCGCTTGCAGTAGTAACCCTGTGGAACACAGAACAATAAGATTACAATGGGACAGCAAAAACAGAATGATCAGATAGTGACTGCACCACAGCATGATGATTTGCATGCATTCTCCGTCAATGATAACGTATTGAGCGAGGGGCAAGAACTCATCACCGAAGCTGCCAAACGTCTGGTGCGTGGAGCTGTTTCCACTCAGATGTGCAAGCAACCAACCATCTTTCTAGCGCAGCAGCACCTGGCCTACTTATCAGAAGTTATCAGCCATCTGCACGAGCAAAAATTAGAACTGCACTGCAGAAGCGCTTCCCCTAACAAATAAAAAAAAAAAACTCCTGAAGCAAATCAGATGAGTTCCGTTTTTAAGAACAAAAACGAGGGAAGCCTGCCAGAACCTCGCGCTCATACCGGCTCTTTAAACATCATGCTCTGATAAGAAACGAAGGAGCGGCTGAAAAATATTACAAACATGGAAACGCGCATTTGTGATAGTTATCAATAGCGTAAAATTTAACAAAATTACAAAATGCAGAATAATAAAAAAGAACGACGACTCACCCATGTAAGGCTCAATAAATCAGAAGTGTTCTGAGCGAATGTGAAAAAAGCGCACAGAGAAAAGTGAAATGAGAAGCAGCTGGAAGCACGAATATCCCAGAAAAGAATCGAAACATGTTTCTGCTACAACAACAATAAAGTTCGTTCAGCGAGCACACACACACACACTGATTGATCCCCCAACGGTGAGAGACACTGGAAGAAGAAGCGGTAAAATGCTCGAAATCCAACAGAGCTGGAGAGAGAGATCGTTGGCACAGGGCACGCAGCACCGCTCAATCTCCCCAATCCTTGGCTATTTCGAGGGTCCATGTCCAAGACAACCAATCGTGGCCATCATCATCACAGACTTGCGATTTCACCTTATAAGTGCCACGATGTAGCAGACCTGCAGCAAATATACCGTTCAAATAAAAACAAAAGCACTCGCCGACTGATCCACAGAACTACTGAGAGGGGCTGCAGCTAAGCGTACATTAGAGAAACAGCACTTTCTGTTCTCACCCAAACCCTGGCAAACTCGAGCATCTACGTCCATAGTGAAGGCGCGGGCGCTAGAGAGGTGAGGGGAATGAAACACAAACAGACCTACTATATGAGCACTGTGCTCTCCCACATCCAGGCAGAAATGCTCAACGTACTGCATTCTCTTGGCCGGCTTCAGCGTTAAATCCTCCCCTGGCTGACTTTTCCTGCTAAACCGAAGTAGTTCTGGAAAAAAACTGAAACTTACCGGATGGTGCTTCATCGACTGGAGTGATGAATGACTGCAGCTCCATTTTTGGCGCATAAGAACCCATCATAAAAGTCTCTCTGTCAACTGAAAATGCAGAATTCTCAGTAACTGGCAATTTCTCTACTGCTTATGCTACATTCCAAAAGAATACGCGCAAGGAAGGAGAGGGAGGATCGGGGAAACAGTGGTGGAATCAGGTTATCCGGGATGAAGTTCCTGGAGCAAACTTGCATATCATTAACATCGGGGCTTTATCCTGATGACATCCGGAAGACCCCAGAGACTGCGATCACTAGCTGTATAAGATAAAACCACGGTGAAAGCGCGAAAATTACCTGGTATCGAATGGCGTGTGACCTTCTGTACATACTTCAAACCCGTACAAATTTCCCTCTGCACATGAAAGTCGAAACGAATCCTGTAGGCCGCTCCTTCTTTGATTGTAAATGATGCTTCGTTCGATTGCTCTGCATTCCTAACATTTTAAGCTCCAGCACTCCAGCAACACATTCAAGAATCCTCAAAAAACTCAACAAAAACGACCAGAAGGAACCACACTACCACGTAGTCCGAAAAGTACCTACCTCCCACCCTTTTCAGGTATCAAAGAATGTTACAGAACAAGCGGGTAGGTAAATTTGCGTGTAACGCGATAACGGCCTCGAACAACAGGACCAAAAATATGCAGACAGAGCGATACTTAA